CATTCAACATGGTCAAATAAACCAATATTCTCGATAGTTATTGCTGGTCACCCGAAATCGCTATAACCTCCTAGGGTTTGGCATGATTAACCGAAGGTCGTGACCACGCCCGAGAGGATGTCGTCAACTTATCATGAGAGATCGTCATTGATCACCAGTGATCGACCACCACCAAAAGTTATTCCAACCAACCACAACTAAAATAAGAATTGATTATGGCTCTTTAACCAACTTTAGTTGTATCAACTACGATTTCTCTGAGCAACTAAAATTATTACAGTCACCAAATAAGACTTAAATGAGGAATTACATGAGGAGAAACTGCCCGAAGATCAAATTGCTCCTGCTATACGTAAAAATCTGAACAACAAAGGGAGTAATTATCCCCCATTTGCCCTTAACACATGGTATCAAAGTATAGAAGAAAGAATCAAGTTCTTAAAGTAACAAAACAATTAAATATATTTAATTCAATTCCTATATATATATATATATATATATATATATGTGTGTGTTCATAAGAAATTATATATTTTTTGTTTGATTTGAAAAGAAAAATATTAAAATATTAATTGTCATACAAATTTCTTTTACTTGGCATTTACATACATACATATATTCTTATGTATCTACCAATCTTACACCTATTTTTATATTTACATACACAATTCGTATCATACTCAAGAACTCGTTTCATCATATAAACTAAAGTACATAATCTTTTCTAATTATTGATGTAACCCAAGTTTTAACTATTAAATTAATTAATATCTTATTAATAAAATATATAAAATGCATAGAAATAGTGCGAAATTTCATACACATCACAGCATTTTATGGGGTGTAAATGAACTGAACATGAAGAAACGGAGCTTGTGTTCGTGTTCGGTTCGTTTGAAATTTAGTTTGTTTAAAATAAGTTTGTGTTCAAAATTATTCGTGAAGTCACTGTTCGTGTTTGTTTCTTAACGAATGTGTCGAACACGAGCTGTTCGTGATATAAATATATAATATCTATATTACTTTATTACTAATATAACATATTAATATATTATTATTAATTTATTATATATTATAATTTATAAAATTTAATTTTTTTAAAATATCATCAATTTTTTTATATATAACTATTTTATATTTCGAACAATAATGATTCGATTACGAACGAATGCATCAGTGTTGGTGTTTGGTTCTTTTGGTTAACCAAACGAAAAAAAATTATTAACGTTCGTCTCGTTTACTTATCGAACGAATCGAACACGAACTCATTGACAAATCAAATACGAACTGTTCGCGAACAACGAGCTTTTTTTAACGGCCATACATAAATTGTATATCCAAACTCTCTTTAATAAATTTTAATTATTTGACCGTTATGTATATGAATAAGTTTTTTATTGACATGTAATTATGTATGTATATATATACATATTCTCGATTTTTGTGAATAAAAATATTATCTTTGGGGGATATTGATCCGTAATAAATATGGGTTGCGTTTATTTTGTTATGACACATGCATTAAAATAAAAGGCTTCATGATTCGTGTCCGATCACTTTGATGTGACTTAGTGATGATTACTTATCTTGACTTTCGTGTATTCATATTTATTTATTTCTCCAGTTTGGTCGCCGAGTCATTGCTGGACCGTAGTTTTGGCCCATCCATCTTATGTGTGTGCATAGAAGAACAATGGGTTGGGCTTTGAAGATTGTTTGTGGCCCATTTTTCTTTCTCTTTTCTATTTGTTCTCCTAGTCTTTAAAAGTTACATTAATAGGGCAAAAATCATTCATAATAAAAATATTGGAATTAATCAAAAATGATTTATCAAATCATTAATATTTTGAGAAAATTATTGACCAGATATCCGAACATGTTGACATTGATTAGACCATTTAAAATACACAGCAACGTAGTCAGTAATCATCGTTATTCGAACAGATATAAGTGCACAAATCATATTTACTAAATAATGAATAAAAAATAGGTTATTTAATATATTTTTTTAATATTTATATTTTGATGTTGGATTAAAACTTTTTACGAACACAATCTTTTATGGTTATTTGTGTTTTTACTTGTCTGAGAGTACTTAAATGGTTGAAGGTAAACTTGATCAAGATTCCACATTTTCATTACCGTTTCATCACAGTCTATAAGTAGTTTTTGAAGCTGTTATCCAGGCTTGTTAAATGGGAAAAAAACATTACGTCCGGAGTTCGGAGGCAGAGCAACGTCTTGACAACTGACATGATACAGCGGGCGGAGCGGGAGCTCGGATCTCCATTGTATCACATCTGTTGTCCAGACGCACGTAATTTTTTTCCTATTAATCAGGGTCTTTACTCTACGGAGAAGCCGGTTCTAATTTCTAGTAACTCTCTCTATCGCAAATTATTATAAATAGGAGGGAGTTAAAACAAATAGACATTTCTTCCTCTATAAGGAATGTAAAAATCAAAGTTTAGATGTTACATATGTAATATGTAAATATGAAAAAAAATGTGTGGTATGTATGTAGATATTATCCCTGCATTAGTCTTTACAGGAGAGAATAGTTGCGAGAATAGTGGCCAATTCACATCGATGGTAATGGCTGCCGACTGCACCAATTGAAACCGGCAATTCGACAGCTCTCATTCTTCATTATTTCTTCGGTGGGATACCACGCAATTATCATTGCTTTTCCCGTTTAGTCACTTTCGAATTTTATTACACGGAGTTTCAAAATAAATTAATTCTTTATTATTTTTAGCTTATATATATATATATATATATAAGTTCCCTTTTTATTTTACTTTCTTTGTAAGGTTTATTTTGTGGTGAGGTCACCCTCTGTAGGTTAAAGTCCCGTTTAAATAGTTAGGTATTGCACATAATTCTTACATGTGTGCATATCTCTCTCGAACATAAATTTATTTTTTTTATTTTAATTTTTTTAATCTAAAATTTAATATTTACGTCTCCTTAACATCACATTAAGAATTTCATTGTTATTATTTTTTTAAAAGTAAATTATAATTTTTTTAATTAAACTAAAATGTTAGAATATTATGCATATAAATGTGAAAATTTAAGTTTGACATTCATAAATGCAGGAGAATTATGTGCATATATATAAAGTTTCTTCGGCTAGGGCATTTACAAACTTACATAATTCTTATGTATTTACATATTTGATACGTGAATTTTCATATATATATATATATATATATA